TCTTACATTCTTATGTCTAATGGACTGAGCAACTTCATTGAAGATAACAGTATGTAATTTAGCAACCATTGTAGGTTTCTACCATTTTGTCTTTAGGTCATGTATCATTTTTGTTGTTTTTGTGTTGTTTTGATTTTGTCTTCATTGTTGTTTTGTCAGTTTTTTAATTTTAAAATAAAAAAAGGAAAGATAACCTCTTGAATAAATATTGCTTGGAAAAGAAGAAGACTGAGTCTATAAACTAAACTAAAATGAAACTGGATCAAAGATCTTAATGTTAAAACACAGTTGGCCTTGGTGGCACACACCTGTAATCCCAGCACTCCAGAGGCTTAGGCAGGAGGATGGCTGTGAGTTTTCAAGGCCAGCCTGGGTTACAAAGTGAGTTCACGGTCAGCCTGAACTACAAAGCAAGCCCCTGTCTCAATCAATAAATAAACATTAAAATAGAAAAATCCTGCTGGAAGATAAAATAGGTAAAATACTTGAAGACATAGCAATAAGCAAGGACTTTCTGAACAGAACACCAGTGGTGTAAGAAGGAGTACTGAGACTCAACAAGTGAGATCATAAGAAATTTAAAAGCTTTTGCACAGCAAAAAAACAACCAACAGAGTAGAGAAATAGCTCAAAATAATTAGCCACTCTTCCATAAATAGACACTTCTCAGAAAAAGTACAAATAGCCAAAAAAATGCGTAAAGAAATGTTCAACAGCCATTAGAGAAAGGCAAATTGAAAGAACACTGAAATTCCATCCTACTCCAGAAAGAATAGCTATCATCAAGCAATCAAAAATAACAAATGGTGTCAAAGCCTCAAAGATAAAGGAATCCTTCTACATTCTCAGTGGGAATGTAAACTAGTACAACAAATATCGAAATCCATACGGAAATTCCTCAAAAAACTAAAACTAGAAATTCCATTTGATCCAGCTATTTCCCTTTTTGGTTTCTTCCCAAAAGGATTAGAGTCATCATATTACAGTGATACATGCGTATCAACATTTATAGCAGCACAATTTATAATAGCTAAATCTTGGAAACAGCCTATCTCCCATTAACAGATGAATGGACAAAGAAATGTGATATTTATACACAGTACAGTACTATTCTGCCCTAAAGAAGAATAATCATGAGGCATCTGTAGATAAATGGATGCACCCAGAGACCATATTATGTGAAATAAATCAGGCACACAAGTTTTAATAACATATGGTTTCCCTTATACGAGAAACCTAAAATATAAATGAAGAGTAAAATAAAAGATAGATAATAGGAAGGAAGGAGCTCTCTTTCAAATGGAAAGGAAAAAAAAGATGGAGGAAGGGGGTAGGGAGGGAAGGGAAAAGGGATAAAAAAAAGACTGAAAGAAAAACAATAGAAACAGAACTTTGGAAAATGGGAAGGTGACCAAGAGATGAAAGTAGCACGGATGGATGGGAGAAACAAGAGATAAAAAAAGAATGTGGATGAGCTATGTACATGTACCTACTCCACAATAAATGTAATCATTACATACTATAAACATATACTAACAAAAAAATTAAAATAAAAACAGAAGGCAGTGCCTGCCCAGCAAGTGCAAAGTCCTGAGTTCAATTCCCAGTAAAAAAAAAAAAAAAAAGAAAAATTAAAACAAAAGGAAACATGAAAAAAATAATAGACCAATACACAGATATGAAAAGTCATTAAAAATAAAGATCCTTTTTTGGCCATCAAAACATGATTTTAGACCTTCGTCTACCTACTGTAGGTATTAAACTACCTAAAGAAGATATGAAATCCAAATAGGGCTGATCTGAAAGGCACACATTGCCAGTGTATATATAAAAACAAGCTATAGGAGGGAGACAGCAGAGTGAACAGAGTTAGATGTCCTGAGGCTGATTTAGAATTTGACACTAAGCAATCCACTGAGCTGAAGTATAACTTCCATATGTGAAAACCCCACTGGGTGAGATGGAATCTTAATGTTGTTTTAATTTGCATTTCTCGAACGACTAATGGTGTTGAACATTTTCTCATGTATTTATTTGCCATTTGTATTTCTTTATCTGAGAAGTGTGCATTCATCTCA